ATAAACAGTTAATCGTTAACCTCTCTCGCTCAGTAAGAGGGAGTGATGTTTAATAGTCTTAGACAAGTCCATCGTGTGGGGGTGTTCAGCTACTCCACAACATTAATGAATGCCGAATATTTGTTCATAGGGAAGGAAAAAGGTTAATATTACCATTAAAGATGAGGACAACAAATACTACACTTTGATCCCATCCTGATGGTCAGCCAGCTAAGAAAAAGTGTAACTTGAATAGTACGTGCTGCTCGATCAACGAATGACAAATGTTTCCTCATAAGGAAATAGCTACTATTACCGTTAATGCAAGTTGCGGGTGTACGCGCTCGGGTCCCCCACATTAAATTCGATCTTGTGTCGTATCAAGACGTATCGAGACGGGGTAAATATGAATATCATACAAGTCCTAGGTATGACGATAAAGTAAATCCTGCAGCAAGGCCTCTGATCAGATGATCGGAGAGTTTGAGGAGCATGGAACCATTTGTAATTGTTGTTTCTCCCTGGACCGCCCTGACTCAGGGTGGTAGCACCTGTTAGGGCCCCAGCTTTAGTGAATCCAAAAAAAACAAAAAAAACACAAAGTATAAAAACATATATGTTTATAGTAAAAATAGCCTCAATATATTTCTTATTCAGACCCCTTAATACGGTAAGAAATAAAACAAGTTTATTTTTCTGGTATGATTCAAGCATATCTTTACAGCAAAAGCGGTCCCTTGTAAAGAACATCGTATCACAGTAAATCAATAATAATCGGAATTTTTTTTCTTTATGTTCCTACGTGTATGAGACAGTTCAATAGCCGATATCTGTGACTGCTTTAGAATGACAATTCTAGTCTTAAACAAAGATCTGTCAGCTGTGTACGCAAGTTGGCTGTCCAGGGGATGTAAATTTACATTAGAAGCCTTTCCCGCGAAGCAAAATTAGTCCTGTACAAACGTTAGCATTTATTAGATAGACTGCATAAAACTGGGCCTATTTTGTGCAGCTGTTACTTTGTTGACACAAGACAACACAAATACAAAATGCTACTGAGTATTAGAAAAGGCTTTTCACTCTCATACCAAATTTCGAGTCTTTTCGTTTTCATCTTCCCAAAGAAGCAGTGCACTATGAAGACCATTATGAGTATGGTGACTTCGATCTTCAACAAGTATTATTTTCATTGATTTTTTTACGGTTTGTCAACCTTTTGCAGGTTATTTTAAAGTCAGAAAATGTTTTTAGATTCTAAAATTTTTTAAAGATTTAGTGATACCAATCCTACTAATTAGCCCATTGACGGGAGAGAATAGATGAATTCGATCCTTACCAAGTGGTGAGTATTAATTTAATTGATTGTTTTTTTACGGTTTATCACCCTTTTTCAGGTTATTTTAAAGCCAGAAAATATTTTTAGATTCTAAGTATTTTTGGAGGTAATACAGATTTAATGATACTTGTCCTTCTAATTAGCCCATTACTGGGGGAGAATTGGTGAATTCGTAACTATGTCAATAGTATTTGCAGTTCGACACTATATTAAAAAAAAACACTTCTGTATTGATAAAATAAACAAAATTACAATCGATTCTGACATATGTATTTTTAATAAATGGTGAAATGAACAGCAATCTACAAAAAATTAACACACGCAATACATTTCTGTTTTTTGAAAAAAAACGGACCAGTCAATTAGCATAATGCTCAAAATATATACACACACACACACACATATATATATATATATATATATATATATATATATATGTGTGTGTGTGTGTGCAAGAACAAATCGGAAACATCAATCTAACTCAGTGATTCCCAATCTTTTTTTTAACCATGGACCCCTTTTCCTTTCTTTTTTTTCTTGGTGGACCCCTTAGTAGCTATTTGACATAAGACAACAATATTCTATTTTTCACTAAAAAAATTTTGAGGTTTTAATAATCAAAGAAATATTATATAATTGAATTTTATTTTTAAACGGAAACTGATTTAATGCAAATAAATTATTCTACAACAACAACAACAACAACAACAATAATAATAATAATAATAATAATAATAATAATTTTTGTTGACCAATATCTTGAATTACAATATTACAATTTTTCTTCCATGGTCAAGGCCATGGACAGCAGAGCTCTTAAAGAAATTGAATTCACTGCTGCATTTATTTATGTACACTGGCTAAAAATTTAATAAGCAAGTTTAAGTTAAGTGTGTGATTAGAAAAAAAAGAAGAAAGTTATATTTATTCAATGAGATCGCTGTGGTTGAACGCTGCTCAACGAGTTATTTTAGATCTGGTTTCATCGAAGTTAATGATAGTCGAAGATCACCTGTTTTCACAATGTCAAATCTATTGCGAACTTTTGATAACAGTTGAGAAATATGACTAAATCCCGATTTAACAAGATGTTGGAAAAGCAATAACGTAGAACTGTGCTTTATTTTAATAATAAAAACCATTCTTTTGCCTTTCTTCACCAAAATATTATTATGGATCCTTAATTTGTTATATTTTTCCTGTTGATCCCTAGAAATATTATGAGCGCTCTGATGAGAGAGAGAGAAAAAGAGAGAGAGAGAGAGAGGTACGAAAACCGGTGGTGTTTAGATGTTTGTAATCGGTTTACTACAAGCAAGGCAATAAATCCACTAAGACCCAAGCTGTTATTGATGGTGAAAGATTATGCGACAAAGAAAAACATTAAGAGAGAACAATCAAAGAAGAGAGAAAAGTTTTTGAAGATCAAAGTTGATTGAAAACTAAGAAACCAGAAGAGAATTTCACAAGCGAGAAGTGCGAGCCAAGAAACAATATAGAGATATTTATTATCTTGAAATGTAAAAAGAAAAATTCGGATCTATTTCTAAGAAATAATTTTCCTTTAATAAACAAAGCGATAAAATTATATTTTTCTCCGTTGAATGAACCATTGGCAAACAACATTTTTGTGTGGTTTTCTTTCATCACAAAATAAAGTGAAAATACAATGGAGGATTTAAAAAAAAATGATACCTGGGAAATTTAGCCACGATGCGAGGCAGGTAAGTGTAAATGAAAATCGTTTGATAAAAACTTTCAATACTTTTTTGATTATGAATAGTTGGAATTTCTATAATATTCTTTCAACAGAAACAAATCACAAAGTACAATCTTTGAATTAATGTATGATAAATGTTGATTTCGATGTGATTTAAAGACATTTTGGGACGATTACTGTTATTTTTGAGAAAATTCCAGACAATTACCGTTATTTTTTGAGACAGTTCCAGACAATTACCGTTATTTTTTGAGACAGTTAAAAAAACAAAAAAAAAAAAAAACATGTATGATGTCCTGATCACAAACTTCTCCTTATATCATCTAACATTTACAAAAATGTAAAGTCTACATCTCTAGCAAACAGCTTACAGGATATCAAAAAACAGGCATTTTAACAAGAGGTGGTATCGTGACTTTCTCAATTTGTGCATATTATAATAATCCCGTTCAGCGGAAATGCGCTAGAAGCTAAAACGCTCATTGGTACTTAGCACCAAGTCGGAATCAGTAGCCTAAATACAAGTTTTGTAATACACGCAAGGCTATGTTGCGACTCTGCAAGCCTTACGATAAATGAAAAATTCGAGCAAAGTGCCCTCATCAGATTTTGCGTGAAGATTGGTAAATCTGGTATCGAGATATGCGATACACTTCATAGGGGTTCCAATGCACATTATTTTGCTCAAACAGGTACTTTTAATTGGAACGAGCGTTTAACGGCCGATCGAGTGTCGGTTCAAGTTTATGAATCATCAAATGTAAAAAAAAAATGAAGAAAAAATATTCGACACTCATTCAAGTTGATAAGATAGCAAGGGTCACAAAGACCTGCCCGAAGACTCCAATTAGGCTTGCCCCTAAATCCCACTTGGGGGAGGGTAGTATGCACCGACCCTATATATATATATATATTTATGACTGCATATTAAGAACAATTTCTTGTTTTCAGCATTTATTTGCTGTGCAGTCAACCATTACCCGTTGTAATAATGTTTAATTTTAATAAGCGTGTATACCTTTTTACATCGCTTTCGTGAAACATTACCCGATTTTTATATTTTATATAAAATTTATGAAGCTGAAATACTCACAGATTTAATTACGGTGTTATGGTTTCCTTGTAAAAAAAAAAAAAAAAACAAGGCTCGAGGGATTTGACTTACCTGTAAAATAAAAGAAATTAAAAATCAGTTTAAACATTAATGAGAAAAATATATTTAAGACGTCAAAATCAAATATATCACGAAATAATTTTAAAAGCAGTGATGGGCTTCATTATAAAATAGTTTGATTTTTTAATCATTTCACCCTGAAGTAAGGCGATAAAGCAACTAAGACACAAAGCATTTCTGACAATGAAAGAAACTGAGAAAACTCTATTGTGGAGAGGAAAATAAAAGAAAAAGATTTAAGAAGACAGAAGGTGACGGTTGACGTAGTTGATAGGAAAGCAAGAAGTCAGAAGAGAGTTCCCCAGGGACGAAGTGCGAGAGAAAAGTAATCAAGAAAACCAATAGTAAAATATTGAGACAGTGCTGCCGGTCTTGTATTGCGCTAAAATTCGCGAAGACTTGGTACCAAAGAGGAACACCATAGCATACACTACCGAGATTTTTTGACCAGACCTTGTACAAGTACCAGAAAGATTTGGGCGTGAAAAACTGTCTAGCCCGACACAGTGAACCAACTTTCCTAGCAGAAGACTTAGCAGTTGACTCGATGCAATCGTTCCAATGTATACGAGGAAGAGTTAGAAAAAAATGCTCTTCCCTTCAAAGATTGGATTTCACCTGAAAATTTCAATGTTTGATTACGGAAGGCTTGAAATGATAAAATCCAGAAGAACCGTGTGGACCAATGGAAGCGTTTTCTGAAGAATCGCCAAGCAACCTGCACCACGTTGACCTCTTCTGACACTTCATCAATGAAAAGAATTCCGACTCGGAGCAAAAGGTGAACAGGCTTACGGTCATATCACGTTGAAACATCGATCTCCGTAAGATCATCGAAGTTAAATAACGTCGAGCCCGGTTAGTACTTAGGTGGGTAACCGCTTGGGAATACCAGGTGCTATAAGCGTGAATTTGTGGGTGGTGTAATGGATAATAGCTCGCAATTATTAATCAGAGAGTCGAGATAGAAAGATATCAATTCACCTCTTCTACCTCCAGCAATAGGTTTATTAGCAAGACTTGTATCATTAAAACGTTATTATCTCCAAAAAAAAAAAAATCATACAATTTCCTCCCATCAAATTCTGGTGTTAAATAACCTACAAAGTATGATAAGCCATAGAAAATAAATCAGTTAAAAGTTGAAGAGGAAGACCTATATTTGGAGGTACTCAAGATGATGTCCACCATATTCTAGTCATCTCTGATAGTCTTATAGATTATGAGCAATTAGGACCATGTTATACTGCTTCATTACTGCCGGTTCTCGATTATCTAAGTTAAGCAATGTCGAATCAGGTCACGACTTACATATGGGACCACTTGGAAACATCGGGTACTCAAAGTAACTTCCAATAATCATATATAAGTTTCTGCTTTAAATAATCTATGAAGGGTTGATAAGACGTAAAAACAAATAAATTGCATTTAATGCCAATGCATACATAGATATGAACAGTATCATTTCAGCCTCACTGTGCCTTCACCATCAAAACGTTTTTTTTGGACCCTTCTAAATGCATTTTCCTTAAAACGATATTTATATCTGGAGATTTAACCTGTTGAACCTAGAAACGTGGCTTTGACCCACATAGCCAAAAAGATGAAAAAAAATGTTATTTTCAAGAAAGGAACAATTTTATTTATTATATTATAGGAAATACATCATGAAGCTCGATGTGGGCAGCTGTCATTATATCCCCCCACACGTGTGGGGCGATCGAGGGGCTCTAGCCACGGTTCTGGATGCGACGGAGACAGTTCTGGAGTGAGTAAGTAACTGAGAGAACGCTATAAGCTTTCCAAAAGGACACTGGTAAATCCCTGAAACCCGGAAATGGCTGGCCGAGATTATCCTTTTTGTCACACTCCGGATTATATATTCCCCTGAACGCTTGCAGCGTCGTCGATATGGAAAACAACAAGCTGCCTTGCAATACATTGAAGAAATCATTGAAGACCTGCATTAAGGACGTGATTGAGAACTACTTGACTCATGCAGGCAATCGCTTCGGAGAACGCATCAAGGCCGCACTCCGAGATGAGGATGGTTTCATTAATATTTTCCTTTTTTCAAGCTGTGAACAAATGTTTTCAAACATATACTGATTTTTCTATCTAATAACTTTGTTTTCAAATATTTTTTTTTAGTTACATGTCACGTTCTGGGTATATATTTATCGGTGTGTAGAACATGAAAAAAAAACACACTCATATATATATATATATATATATATATATATATATATATATATATATATAGTGATTACTCAAGAGTAGCTTAGATGTAGCACAAGGCTGAAATTAGGGGGCTCCCTGTGAGTATCGAACTCGCTACTCAGTCATAATTGCTCTAGCGAGACAAGCTTGCGAACCATTACACCGCCTCGAGGTGTACCCCCCCGCCACATATAGATAGATGACAAAACTACTGGCTGTGCGGTCAATGAATGCCAAATGTTTTCTTGTAAGGAAACGGCTAATATTACAATTATCAGTACCCTAAACAATCCCTACGCATTGTCTTTACTTTCAATTTTGCCTATATATATATATATATATATATAGAGAGAGAGAGAAAGAGAGAGAGAAAAAACAGACAGACAGATAATATGAATAACCCAGGATAGATATGAATAACACGCGGTATATAGATATAAATAACCCGAGATAGATAGATAGAAATTAATAGACTCAGATAGAAAGAATGAAAGAAAGAAAGAAGGAAATTAATAGGCTAAGATAGAAATTACTAGACTCAGATAGATAGATAGATATGGATAGCCGTGATATATATATATATATATATATATATATATATATATATATATATATATAGATAGATAGATAGATAGATATAAACAAACAGAAGTAGATGGATAGCTAGATAGAGTAATATGAACAGAACAGACTAAGATAGATAGATGTGTGTGTTTACAAGAAAAGAGTTAAATATGATTACATATTTTTATGTTAGGCGTCTTTATACTTGCAAGAATTATATACTAGACTCTGTCGACGTTTTTCCGACGAATGAGGGTCAAGCAGCTCAGTTCCTAGGAACCGACAGTCCGACACCTGCACATAAGATTTGTTTGTAGGGATGAAGGCTTTGTGCAGAACCAACCGCACTTTTAGAAGAGCCGAATCCAGAGATCTGGTGCACTACGTGCCACAAGGTCCCCAAACGACACTTCGCAAGTTTTGAATTCAGAGTTGCTCTTCTCCTATAGAGCGTTGTCCTTCTCCTGCTATAGGACCCTGTCATACCTTTCCCAAGGTTATTAGTATGTAAGTGCAATGTAAAAAAAACAGCAGAATTTGTATTAAATCCGAGCTTTCGAATCACACCAAGGAAGTTAAAGAGGAGGAAAATAAATTAAATATATTTTCAGTAGCAGTGTTTCGTTATATTTTGTTTGAACAATTTATTCAGTTAATTTTTCAATAAGTATAGGCGGTACAAATAAGAAAATAAGATTTTTAAAAAAGAGACAACTGAAATTTCTTGGGCTCATAATGTGGAAGGAGGACACGGAAAACTTGAAACACGTAGGGCAGTTTGATGTAAGAGAGACAAGGGAAACGAGCATTAGTGAATGGATGGCGGAGCATTGTTTGGGAGAGATGACAAAAAGACATGTTAGTAAGAGCTACAAATGACAGGAAATTGTGTAGAACCATGATCGTCAACATTCTGAAGTGACACAGCACATCAAAGAAGAATATTTGTATGTACATGAGAAGAAGGTAGTACTAAAAAAAAAAAAAATGCTTAAAATTTAACACTTGATGGCAGACATGAAGCGGTTAAGATTGTAGTGATTGGGAAAGCATCATCTTGGGAGTTTGTTCTACAATGCTACAGTTTTGAAGAAGTTGCTTTTTGGACGGATCTTCCATCTTGTGAATGAAATATGAAGCTACTCATTCGAATTTACTTCATATTACACTGTTAAGAGGGAAGTTTTTTTTTTCTATTCAAAGAGCTGCTATAAGCAATAAAGATGAAAATCTCAGAGTTTTCCTCTGTGGATTTTCAATTGAATCGTTATTCTTAAGCTAATGATTGAATAGGATCCCTGACGATTCCACGACTATACAATACGCGTGGAAATTCCCTATTGCATCCTAAAATGTTTCAGCTTAACAGCTTTAACCAAATGTGACAATCATAAATATGATTGCAGATCTTTTGTAATGTCAACGAATACTCGTTGTCACTTTCGTAATGCTCGTTGTATAGAGACTGTGTAATTGCAGATACAACTACAGTACGCCGTTGAACAATACTGGTGTCAGACACCTTCGAATAACACCCTCACGAATAGTACTTGGGCAAAATTTCCACGTAGACCCTCGTCTGGGTTCCTTTCTGCCCTTAGGCAGAGAGTTTCGCAAGCACACTTCCGATGAAATCCGGAGAATTATGATATTCACTAACCGCCCCATGTGGTCGGATGTGGCACAAGGCCGAGTTTATTGTGGATTATCCGAGCCCGTAGGCTCCGCCAAAAATTACCCGTAGACTCCACACAAACGGGGTCGGGTAGCTGTCTCCCGAGACGAGACATCTGCCCTTCGACAAAGCCTTGTCTGGGGATCCTCTTTGCCCAGAGAAAGAGAGTTTGACCAGCAAACTTCCGAAGTAATTCGGAGTATGATCACTTAGACGACATGCTAATTCCAATATGCACATTTCCTTTACCATCCCGTGATCTACGTATTCAAAATGGGATCGCCTGTGTTTGCTCTCTGATGATCTGAGTTCAAACTCCAGTGTCGACAGCGACATTTTATTCTTATATAACAGTGACTAAGCAGAAGATTAAGACATAAAAACAAAACAAAAAAAAAAAAGAAGAAGATTTCTGAACTGCTATATCATGTCCATCCTTCTGGATAGGAAACGAATTTTTCTTACGATATAGATATGTGTTTTTATGTGTTTTGTAATGTCAATGAATACCCATTGTCTCTTTCGTAATGCTCTTTGTAATAGAGACTTTGTAACCGCAGATAGCGCCTTTTTTAATATTTTTTCTTCCATGTTGTCGGCAGCTGACTATCAAGCTGTCAGGGCTTCATTCTCGTAAACGTACAGGAATGGTTCATTGTTTATCGTAGGTAATGGCAGTGTGCAATATACGTACTAAGGAACAAGCAGAATTAGTCTGATCTTAAAATCAAGTCTCCAAAAATTAGATGCAATTTCAGTGTAGAGGTAAGATAAATATTTATTGTTATTTATTACTACATGAGTCATACAATGTTTTTCTATATTTCGATCTTTATTTAATATATTTGCATTCAATTGTATACAACCGGTTATCAATGGTTAAAATGGCTTTGAGCGAGTGAAATTCGTGTCTTTTTGGAACATTACGGACTGGCGCGACAGAATCACAGACGAAGAACTGTACTAAATAACCAATACACCATCACCCAAGACCTTTCAATGGCAGCAATAGCTAAAACGGATATCTCTATCTATAAAAGGCAGGATATGTGTGCGTGTAACGAATGCAGGGCCACAATTTTCGACGGATTTGCACTAAAATTTACATGCACATGCTCCAAGTTAGCAGGAAGGTCAAGTCTGACTTTGCATTTCCCAACTCACATCGATAGTAGAAATAATCGATTTTTTCATGCTTCTATGGCAGTTTTCATGTAGTTTGCGGCCATTTTCTACTGGCCAGAGTGAGAGCCAATAGCTGGCTGCTACGAATAGGCAGGAAGATTCTATTGGCTAGCGTGAGAGCCAACAGCTGATTGACACGAATGTTAACTAACATGCTAGCATGTAAAAAAATCGATAGCTGCATTCGTCACAAGTGTGAAAAATTTAAATCTGCATGGCACTTTACTCCAATTGGCTCATTCGCTTGCTTAATCTCAACGTTGATTCTGATTCCGCAGAACTGGATTGGGTGTGAAAAAGTATTTGTTGTTAACATTCTTTTTTCATTCGGTTTTTCCAGTCACGATCTCTTTTTTCGTAACAGATTTAATGTTTAGTATAGAGCTTAGAAAAATTCGCAGTGTGAGATAGGCAAGAAGTAAGGCATGTAGCAACATCAGCACGGCAAAGGCACTCCTTTAAAGGCAAGGAAGGGCAAAAATATTTTAAGTCAAGTGATAGCGATTGCTGTACGAGTCGTACGATTTTTGAATCAAGCACGGGCAACGCCGGGCCATGTTGCAAGTCAGATATAATTCGAAGAGAAAATAATCAATATGCCGATGTTCCACACCACTATAAATAAAAGGTTAGGAAGGAAACAATACTAGAAAGAGCGATAACAGCTACTGGACGTGAGAAACTTTTTTTTCCGGAAAAATTGTTTTAAGAGAAAGATTTTACAATTTTTAACCGACAACTGTACAAGCTGCTTATTCAATGAATGCCGAATGTTTCCTTTCTAGGATTCGGCTAATATTACCATTATGTGCTTACAAATCCACACGCACGTTTTTATGTATCCGTAAGCATATAATCCCCTGCACATACCTGTTAGTATGTATGTATTTAAGTATCTTCAACAATACACTGTAAGAAGAGAGTGCAAACGAGGTCTTTTGAGGAAAAAAGTTTTCTTTAGAAAATGATACACTGCATAAGGGATTCGTTTTTTTATTTATTTATTCATGTTTATTCAAATTAGTGAGACTCGGCCTTCACATACTGAGACGGGCTTCTCTCTTGTAAATTCATGTCAGAGACAGACCCAGATACTGGCACCTACCCACACGTTTCATTTTGTTTCAAAAAACCACCCTAACTAGTTTGAAAGAGTAGGGTAGATGGTTGGTGAATTAACGACATCACAATTCACTTCATTCAGTGTAGGTGGTGGTGGCGAGGAGAGAGAGAGAGAGATATTGGAGGTAAACAAAGAAAAAAAAAGACATGCAGAAAGGAAAACAGACAAAGAAAGAAAAGGAGAGAAACAAAAAGAAAGAAAGAAAGAAAAGGAAAGGAAAGAAAGAAGCAAAAGCAGCCATAGAAAATAAAATTAAAGCAGTTAAAGATAGAAAACGCAAAAAAGGAGGAAAATAAAAAAATGATAGGAAAAAGGTAGAAAACGCGAAAAGTATAGCGAAATAAATAAAGAAATAAAATAAAGGAAGCCGAAAGGAGGTTGATTAACTTTGATTTTTAAGGTTTATCAACCCTCTGTGTATGATTTGAAGCAGACACATAATTTAAATTCTAAGTGTAATTCTTTTTAGCGATTTCGCATTATTTTTTTTCTATTGAGAATAAGGATTGTTTTTCTAGATACAAGACTCACTACTGGGGAAGGGCATGGAATCCAACGTTTTCCAAGGATATCTGCGCGGTCCAAAAGAGAAGGCGAAAACGGGAGAGTGAAAAGAGAAGGCGAAAACGGGAGAGTGAAAAGAGAAGGAGAAAAGGGGGGGAGCGGAAGGAGAACGAAAAAAGGGGAGAAAACAGAACGCGAAAACAGAAAACAGAACGCGAAAAGCGGGGGGAAAACAGAACGCGAAAACAGAAAACAGAACGCGAAAAGCGGGGAGCGAAAACAGAACGCGAAAAGCGGGGAGCGAAAACAGAACGCGAAAAGCGGGGAGTGAAAACAGAACGCGATAAGCGGGGAGTGAAAACAGAACGCGATAAGCGGGGAGGGAAAACAGAACGCGAAAAGCGGGGAGTGAAAACAGAACGCGAAAAGCGGGGAGCGAAAAGAGAAAACGAACGTAGAGTGAAAGAGATCGCGAAACGAGGGAGAGTGAAAAGGGAACACGAAAAGAGGAGGGTGAAAGGGGACGCGAAAAGGAGAGAGTGAAAAGAGGACACAAAAGGAGGAGGGTGAAAGGGGACGCGAAAAGGAGAGTGAAAAGAGGACACGAAAAGAGGAGAGTGAAAAGAGGACACGAAAAGAGGAGAGTGAAAGGGGACGCGAAAAGAGGAGAGTGAAAAGAGGACACGAAAAGAGGAGAGTGAAAAGAGGACACGAAAAGAGGAGAGTGAAAAGAGGACACGAAAAGAGGAGAGTGAAAAGAGGACACGAAAAGAGGAGAGTGAAAAGAGGACACGAAAAGAGGAGAGTGAAAAGAGGACACGAAAAGAGGAGAGTGAAAAGGGGACGCGAAAAGGAGAGAGGAAAAGAGGACGCGAAAAAGAGGAAAAGAGGACGCGAAAAGGAGAGAGAAAAAAGAGGACGCGAAAAGGAGAGAGTGAAAAGAGGACGCGAAAAGGAGAGAGTGAAAAGAGGACGCGAAAAGGAGAGAGTGAAAAGAGGACGCGAAAAGGAGAGAGTGAAAAGAGGACGCGAAAAGAGGAGGGTGAAAAGTGAGTACAAAACGGGTAGCATAGGAAGCCCACATAGAAAAGGGAGAATAGAAATAATAAAAGAAAGAAAAAACAGAAATTAAAAAAATGAAAAAGAAATACAATCAGAAAGAAAGGAAAACAAAAATGAAGAAAATGAAAAAAAAACACGAGTCAAACAAACGAAAAGAGGAAGGCGGAAAAAAAGAGTGTAGGAATACAAAAGGTGATTACCTCCCTTTGGTGGAGATGAAGTCACGTGGGTCACATGACAGCCGCTTAGTGACGCCACTTCATATAATGACGGAAGTGACAGTCAGCTAGCTTCTCGGAGCAAGATACGAGTTGTTCGTCCTTCCCGAGCCAGCCAGCCAGCTGTCACGTGTGCTGCATACAAGCCCTTAGCACCGTTTTCCTTTTGGAATATGTGTCTTCTCTAGAAACACAGAAGAATCTCAATATTTAAGATCCAATCTTTTCGTTTTCCTATCACTCTGCTTGTTGTGTAGATATGTGTTATAGTTTCTCTGCGCGGGACACACGAGTAAATATGTATATACAATTCTGTGTATTAAGAAGCGGCATGAAATAAGGTGTTATATCGTGCGTATAATATTGCCCATAATTGGGGAAATGGAAGTATAAGCCTTTCTTATGTAGCTCACCCATTATCTGGGTCAACCAGAGGGGACGTGATATTATTTACCTCCATTAAGTGACAGGAGACTAGAAAATGAGCGTCAAGAAAACTGAAAAAAAGAATGAAAGATTTGAGAAAAACCAAACAAGAATGGGTGAATATGATGGAGAAGATAAAAAGAGACGCAATGGTTTTTGAAAAGAAAATAGATAAAAGAAACAAGTTCTTTTTCTGGTGGCACGAACAACGAACAAATATTGAACAGTTAGAGTACATACGAGAGAATGAACGCGAAATAAACGAAAAACAAGCAGATAATCACAGACAGACAAGGGAAAAGCCGAACTAGGAATAGATCCAAATTTGAAACTTATATGCCGAAAAACTATTAATGGTCTAAAGATTTTAAAAGGAAATAATCTTGTGATTGTCGATTTGCCCAGACAACGTTTTAATCACAACACTCATTAAATTGCCATTAGATGTTAAAACATCGCTGGAAAACTGATAACTACATTCTTGTGTTTATTTTTACTCATCACTTAAATAAGTCGATTTAAAAAAAAAAAATCTATGTGTGACAGAACTAATTTCAACACGAAACCTCAAAAGGGTAATTTACAGTTCAAGCCCCACGTTCAGTTTCTAATAAAAATTTCCCGAATAGTTCCATTTAGGTTTAAATATACATGCTTAATTCGAAAATAACAAAGAAATTTTGATAAAGTCTACCGTTTTCGAGTTATCGACAATAAAAGTTCGGACTCATTTACATCGCGGAGGGTGACATTGAAATTAATTCTGCACCCCTATTATATTATTACGCTACTCTTAAAGGAAGAAATTAATTCATGTGTTTTCTGTGAAACCAGTTGGTGATGATATTGGTGAAGGAAAACTGTGAAGACAAAACATTAGCAGGTTAGGAGAAAGAAAGACATATCGTGAAGAATATACAGAACGACAGACAAGCAGAGAGGACATGAGATGGGGAGAGGATAAATTGAGGAATACATTCGTATAGAGGAAGAGAAAGAAGAGGGACAAACAAACAGAGGAAGAGTAAGGTGATAATGAGTAAAAGGAAGAGATAGAAAAAGATACACAAAAGAATCGAGAAAGGAGAAAACAGACTGAGCGATAGAGTGTGAAGGAAATGAAGAGAGAGAAAGTGAGAGAAGGAAATGGAAAGTGAAAGTGAGAGTATGACATGCAGAGAGAGGAAGAAAGTGAGGGTAGGGCATAGAGAGAGGAAGAAAGTGAGAGTAAGGCATAGAGAGAGGAAGAAAGTGAGAGTAGGGCATAGAGAGAGGAAGAAAGTGAGAGTAGGGCATAGAGAAAGGAAGAAAGTGATAGTAAGGCATAGAGAGAGAAAGTGAGAGTAGGATATGGAGAGAAAGAGAGGAAATACAAAGAGAGAAAGTGAAAGTTGGAAATGGAGGGTGAGAGAGAAAGTGAGAGCAGGAAATGGAGAGAGAGAGAAAGTGAAAGCAGGAAATGGAGAGAGAGAGAAAGTGAAAGCAGGAAATGGAGAAGAGAGAGAGATAGTGAAAGCAGGAAATGGAGAGAGAGAGGAAGTGAGAGCAGGAAATGGAGAGAGAGAGATAGTGAAAGCAGGAAATGGAGAGAGAGAGAAAATGAAAGCAGGAAATGGAGAGAGAGATAGTGAAAGCAGGAAATGGAGAGAGAGAGAAAATGAAAGCAGGAAATGGAGAGAGAGAGAAAATGAAAGCAGGAAATGGAGAGAGAGAGAAAATGAAAGCTGGAAATGGACAGAGAGAGAGAAAAAGTGAAATTGAGAGAGAGAGAGAGAGAAAGAGAGCAGGAAATGAAGAGAGAGAGAGAGAGCAGGAAATGAAGAGAGAGAGCAGGAAATGAAGAGAGAGAGAAAGTGAGAGCAGGAAATGGAGAGGGAGAGGAAGTGAGAGCAGCAAGTGGAGAGAGAGAGAGAGAGAGAGAAAGTGAAAGCAGCAAGTGGGGAGAGAGAGAGAAAGTGAGAATAAGAAATGGAGAGAGAAAGTGAGATATTATAAAACTAATTGGCTAAGAAAGACTATGAATCTAGTTAAAAGAAAGATAAAAATGAAGAAAGATAAATAGGAACAAAGACAAAAAAAATAGGAAATGATAGAAAGAACAAAGAAGGGTGAGAGAGAAGACGGAAACAGTCAAATAAACTGAAAGAAACGCTGAAATGAAAAGAGAAAGAATGAGAATTCCTTTACCCTTTTTCTTGTATTTCTGACGGAGCGAAAAAGAATTCAAGATGGGGTTCTTGGTGAACGAGAGAGTTGTTCAAATTTTGGTAAAGTTACATATGTCAGGAGCAAACGTCAAACTGACAGATTCCCTTTTTCACATACACGCCGTGCACACAACACGTCCTCTTTCAACCACGTTCTCTCCCTCCCGCCTTTAACAAAGAGAGCGGGGTGAGACAAGGTAGGGATTTTACTGTTTACAGAGACGAAGTCGGGGATGTGTATGAACACAGCTGCGCAGGTGTCCGTCCTTTTGCTGAACTCTTGGCCCGAGAAACGGAGAATGAAGTAAAAGAGATAACATCACACTTTCACCAAGTCGTAACCCAACTTGAATAACCCGACAAAAGAAAGAGAGTGGACCGAAGTCAGGTTTCAAGGACGTAAGTCTGTATGCTTTTACAGCGCTTGACACAAGGCTATGAGACACAGTTAACTTTTTGCCAATATTAGTTTTCTTTAAGGTGCCGTGTCTTTGAATAACGATTGACAATCATGGGCTATCCACACCTTTATATCCTTCGTAGCTCTCTTGTATTCTAACCGTCCTTGCCACTCCCTGTTCTACAAGTTTGTTAGATAGGTCACTCCCTGTTTCTCTCTATCCCCTTATTTTCAGCATGCCCCGTGAGTGTCAATTTCTCCAAGCGCTCTTTCCTCACGATATGTCATAATAATTTCAGCTTTCTCTCATTCTAAGTATCCTCGTTTTCTTTAAAATTTCCTCGGTGCTTACATGCACCATGTTATTCTCAGCATCTTTCTGTAGAACCACCTCTGCTGCCTCAAGTCCCCTCTCCGTTTGAAAGCATTCACTACCATAAATGATGACTGATATAAACACATTGGAGCACCCCTTCGTTTTTGTCGAAAATTTCCTGTTTTTAATAATTTAATTAACTTCTGGAAGACAGACTTCTATATTCCATTACACCTTCGGACTTCTCTAGAAAGACTTACCAGATATTTAATATTCTGTATTTACTTGGATTTTGATATCTCCAATTTTACCCCCCCCCAGCTGTTCCTGTTGCTGACAACCATACATTGTCTACTAGCAATTAATAGTTAGTCCTTCCTTCCCGCTTTCTTTATTAGCATGTCTAGGTGCCGTTTTCTTTCTGTAACTACCATCAACACGGTGTCATTTGCGTATTTTATAGTGTTAAGATTTGCCCACCCATAACAAATTTTAGTAGAACTTTCAGTTCTCTCAGGATCGCCTCACCGTAAATGTTAAATAAATCTGGTGAGACGACAAAACATTGTCTTACGTCAATTTATAATTTTATATACTTACTTAACCTATTTTCTATCCGCATGCAGGCTTTTTGCTCTCACTATATATTCTGGATTATTCTAACGTCTTTCCAAGTTAAGTAAAGTTTCCCTAGCAGTTCAAATAGATCTTAGCGCTGTACCTTTCCAAATGATATAATAGAGAAAAAATTAGTTACAACACAATGTTCAACATGGGGCGTGTTATTAATAGGCACAACCTGAGAGTGTTGAAGATAAAACCCAACAAATAAAACACCTAGTGTCAACTATAGAAAACGGGAAATTTCCCTTAAAGAGGCAATGTTTGACTAATAACATCGTATACAGGACTGAAGTTGAAGTACTCTACTCCATGAATTATATTGGTTCGAGTGAGTGCATATTTCATATTTTTTTTATTTTTCGATCTTGATTTGGCTTCTAGACTTCAGTTACTTTCTCACCGACGAGACGTGGCTTCTCTCTGTCTTTTCTACAAATATTTTTATGGAAAATGCTCTGACGAGCTTTTTTTCCCTGGTTCCCCGATTACATGACTTTAAGCGTGCTACTATTATCGATTTCGATCTGTGAGTTCTGTAAATTATTCGAAAATATGAAAGAAAAATTTGAACTGGAAGACCTTGTCGGTGGAATTTAATTATTTATATATAGACTTCTTTTCAACAGTTTCTTTTCTCGCACTTCCCGCCTGTGAAACTCCCTTCGATTTAATTGCTTCCCTAATAATTACAATCTTCAAAAATTTAAATGCAGCGTTAATTGCCATATTCTGTATTCTTGAATCCCGTTTAACTTTTGTCCTTTCGT